GAAATTACTGTTATTGAACCCATAAGGATAACTTCACTATCCTCGATATCACTTAGTGTCATATAATAACTGGTAACCTAAACCTCCTCACTAATATCGCGGTACGCCCACCGTCCCGTCAGCGCTGAACTAAACCATAAAACTTTAAAGGACGTGTAGACCATACTATACTTGAACAAGACTGATTTTGAACCAGCCACTGAGAATCTTAAGTCAATTGACAGGAATGTCTTACTTTTTGACAGAATCACAACTGCTGTAGATCTGTTATTTAACTTAACAGTGACTATTAGGTTAAAATAACAATAATATTAATTACAAACATGGTCTGTTGTAAACAATGTGGACTAATCTTAGCAATAGTATAAGTATAGTTTAGTAAAGTACAGACAACTGATATATACTGGACCCTGATTATGTTTGACCAGCAGGGTAATATAATAGCAATTCTCGTTTAACGATCGAGGTGATTCCTAGACACAATATCTGAAATAGCGAACAGTTACTTATTTAAATATCTAAAAATATATCGTTAATGAACTGTTAAATAAATTTTGTGTGTTTGAACTGTTCAGTATTGTAGGCCAAGAGAAGGGGATATAGTTTATGTATGTTGACAAAGTCTGTTTGCACCGATTCATTATTTGAGAATTCTATTAATATGCTGATATGGAAAAAAGTACTTTTTATACCTCGGTACTCTCAATTTTTATAAGGTTTTTGAATGTGTAGTTATTTACTGGTGTGCATAGGTTTATTATTAACCGAAAGTATCCCGAAACCGAGCTCCTGTGGACGACATTTGTTAGAAAAAAATCATTGGAGCTTGCAATGTCTTTCAGGAAAGTTTGGAATCCGTTGGGAAAGTTGGGAACCGTCACTGCGACCAGACGACGCCTGTAAGAAAAAAACAACATTGGAGCTTGCAATGTCTTTCAGGAAAGTCGGCAATCGGAGGAAAGTGATAGATAACTTTAATCGTAACAGCGATAAAGGACCTGACGAAACATGCGTCAATAACTCCTGCAACCGAAGATTCTCTGTGCGTCTTCACCAAATGCGTATTTTTAAAGGGCTATTGTTCGCACAGTAAATTACGACAAAACCCTCTAAACTGACACCACTTTGGAAGCAAATCATATGAGTAAGGTGTCCTGAGCTGCAGATGTACTTAAATAATGTTGATACAGAAGTTGTGCCGAATTTAGCGTTTTATTCCGGATCTGTCTGTACCGGCAGCCCATTTGTTTGGATAGAGCTGACCCAAAGTAGTCGGGACACGACCAGTGATGGCGTCGACTGTTAGTTTACATGTTTTAGTTTTAGCTTTACTCACATTAATACAAAGAATTCCATGAGCACAGTGTAATGGTGCAGCCCGCCTGAGGCTTGACCTTTAGGAGCGCCGCACTCTGTATTTAGGACATAAAAACAGATGAAATGACATTGTATTTACGTATTGGAAACATAATATATACAACAAAAAATAGCAAACCAATTTTTCTAACCTCGTTTTTGGAACAAAACGCTACTTACTAGCGCACACATATCATGGTGTAAAGTGATTGTGTTTGGAGAGTGATTTTTCTATGTATCTAACCTCACTCCGCAGATCATGTTTCTATATTTGATTGGGTATCACAAAAGGACAGCCGAGTTAATTTTCAGGACAGGTAAGAGACATTTACTTCAATTGTTGCTATCGTTATCATCTTAATTTCAAATACAATATACTATGTTTCTAACCTTAGACCCATTTCCTTTCATTGTTTAAAAAAAAAAAAAAATATCTGGGCGTTTTTTGTTTGTTTTTGTTTTTTAAATGTGGAACATATCTTTTAAACTAACGGTTGGCTGGCAAACAAAGTCGCACCTATAAAACACTTGGAACCGTACGTACTACCTCCCAGAACTTATTTCTGCTGTCTTTTGGTAAACATTCCTCGTTTCCTCTACACGTCTGTTCCGGATCTCATCTCGAACTTTAATTAATTATATATATATATTACAGGTCGATTCTTGTTCTGTACGTGGAGTCACAACTTTGTACTTTGCCATATCAAGCTTGTGGTAACCGACGACATATGTTTCTGTTTGTTCCCGTATTCTGCACATTTACTTTGAACCTTAGTTAACTGCGCTATGATTTCAGTATGGACTATTTGATGATGTGGAATTGCAGTTGTGTGTGCCCTCATGCGGACGATGGTATTATAACCATATTGCTTAACGCATCCACAACATGTCCTTAAATGACCTCAACTGTTAATAGGACGTTAAATAAAATAATAAATAAATAAATTGTTGCACAGATGGCAGCACAACTCTCCCTTTAACCCGTTTTGTCCCACAACCCTTTCTTCGCTACCCTGTCCGACTTCTACTTTTGCATTTCAGTCTAAGAGTCCATGACATACAATCTGATTGAAATCATCTGTTACATGGCTCCGTTCAGGCGTAGTACGAAGTAAACGAAGCCATGTAACAGATGATTTTAATCAGATTGCATATCATAGTTCAGTACTTTGCCTAGTCTTTTGTAGCTTTTGCAGAATTTGTCCTTCGCGTCCGTATTTGGTATTTGCTTTTCTCGCACAATTTTCATAAATGTTTCTAGTCAAAAGTTTTTTTTTCACATGAAAGGATTATAAGAATTACGGGGGAAAAGCTATGGACCTTAATGAATGCTTTCTAATGGACATAATCTTTGTCGACGGAATTTCCGAAATAAAGAAACGTTTCTGTAATTACAGTCTGGCTAATCGGATTTTTTTCTTTTTCAGTACTTGTCTTGACCAGCCGGTAAAGACGTTAGCTGCTGGGGCATTAAAGACTTAAATATCATAATTTTTAATTTTTAATTTCGATTGCACTGATGCAAGGGTAACATAATCTTAGATCGCAAAGCGGGATATATCTCACGTTATTTGAAAAAGCAAAATTGGTGAAAAAGACCGAATCGTCATGTCGGTGTTTTTTCTTTTTCTGTTATATAAGCTTTCTTCCGAGATGTTGCCCATGCCATTTCTTTATCCAGCTCATCCAATCAGGGACAGTATATATACACTATACGTCCCTGATCCAATAGATCTACTGGCATATCAGCTGTTTATGAAACTTAATATGAATAATCGTCTTCTCTTTTTCCTGATAGGGATTACACTATAATACAACTTTTTAAATATGGCATGGATTGTTATGTGTTTTATCATCCTTTTATTGGATAATTATCCGACTTGGATGTTGCTTCCCCGCTTTCTTACTTTATACGACGAAAGGCATGTTTATTGTTATTTCCCACGTCTCCGTCTTGACAACAGTTAACATCTCCGTCTTGACATCAGTTAACTCCGTCTTGACAACAGTTAAAATCTCCGTCTTGACAACAGTTAATATCTCCGACTTGACAACAGTTAATATCTCCGACTTGACAACAGTTAATATCTCCGACTTGACAACAGTTAATATCTCCGACTTGACAACAGTTAATATCTCCGTCTTGGCAACAGTTAATATCTCCGTCTTGGCAACAGTTAACATCTCCGTCTTCACAACAGTTAACATCTCCGTCTTGAGAAGAGTTAACATCTCCGTCTTGACAGCAGTTAACATCTCCGTCTTGAGAAGAGTTAACATCTCCGTCTTGACAAAAGTTAACATCTCCGTCTTGACATCAGTTAACATCACCGTCTTGACTACAGTTAACATCTCCGTCTTGAGAAGAGTTAACATCTCCGTCTTGACAGCAGTTAACATCTCCGTCTTGACAAAAGTTAACATCTCCGTCTTGACATCAGTTAACTCCGTCTTGACAACAGTTAAAATCTCCGTCTTGACAACAGTTACCATCTCCGTCTTGACAACAGTTTACATCTCCGTCTTGACAACAGTTTACATCTCCGTCTTGACAACAGATAACATCTCCGTCTTGACAACAGTTTACATCTCCGTCTTGACAACAGTTAACTCCGTCTTGACAACAGTTAAAATCTCCGTCTTGACAACAGTTTACATCTCCGTCTTGACAACAGATAACATCTCCGTCTTGACAACAGATAAAATCTCCGTCTTGACAACAGTTACCATCTCCGTCTTGACAACAGTTACCATCTCCGTCTTGACAACAGTTACCATCTCCGTCTTGACAACAGTTTACATCTCCGTCTTGACAACAGATAACATCTCCGTCTTGACAACAGTTACCATCTCCGTCTTGACAACAGTTTACATCTCCGTCTTGACAACAGTTAACATCTCCGTCTTGACAACAGTTAACATCTATCGTTTGGTTCGGTTTTTGTTACCAGTCCAGAGAACCTGTTCAATGAATTCAGCCTCATATATGTATATAAAAAAAAACCATAAGAAGGGCACCTTTGGTTTCTATAGAAATGCCCAAAGGCTGCTGGAAATATTGCCATCGAACTCAACACAGATACGGGTTATCCAGGAACTCAATAATTTACATAATTTCATCCTCAGTATATGTCATTATGTCCTTTGTTGTACTTTTTCACAAATATGTTTCAAAATAGTGTACAATCATTATGTTTATATTGCTATTCGCCTTTCTTGGAAAAAGAAGGCTCTCATAATTATCGAAAACGAAGGTGTTCCTTCAGTGGTTTGAGGTATGGTATTGTATTGTGGAACACCAGAAGCTTTAATATAAAAAATGTTTTTAAGGAAAAACCAGTTTTCAATTCTTCTGATTTCATGCATTCGGAACACCTCGCCCGATTCAAGTTAATTCCATGGGAGATTGCAGAATCGGCCGAGGTGTTTCGAATGGATTTAATGGTGTTAAGAATGGTAGTAAGATGCTTGGATAACGGCTTGGTTGAGCAATCAGCAGAGCAAGCGATAAAATGTTTGTTGTTTGTAAAGATTCACGCAAGGCTTCAGAATCCAATACAAACAAGGCAGATCCATACCCTTATGAAGGCAGAGAGATACTCGAGTAGCGAGCATGTGTATACATGCAAATACTGACACTGGTACTATTTTCTGTAGTTTAATCAACAGTTATATAGATATGTAGATCAAAAGTATGATGTACTCAACATATATATTTGTAAATAGGTTAAATTAAATTCTTTAACTCTTCCACCCCTGTGTAACTTTAGTAACTCTACCATGCATTGATCTGGTTGAGCCAATTATGGTCTACAATGGTGAAAGGGTTAAAACAGATCATTGATATCAAGTTTTTACAGATAATGGGTATGAAACACCCATCAAAACAGCACTTGCTGTAGTTCTAAATAAGTGAAAGAACTTCTTTCAAATGAGCAAAGTTCAATTTCTTTCACAAAACCTGTTTGTAAAGTAATATGAAAATAGTGGGAATAGTGGGCCATATACATGGACACAAGATAATAAATTTTAACTGGCCATATTATAATTGTCCACATTATCACACAACCAACTTATGAAAAAATTAGTAATATATTTAAAGGGAGTGGACAATTAATATTCCTATTAATGTGTTACATTGCCTATTTCAAACACAAATTTTAGTTTTGGTGATTCTTGCAAACTCTTAAACATCTTAAAACTCTTAAAGACAGATATGGAAGAGGATTAAAGCCAAAGTCTTTGGTTGGTATGTTTTTAAAAAAGCGATTTTGTTTTATTCCTACAACAAACAGTACCATTATCAGAGAAAAAAATTCAAATAATTCTGCAACAATGCCTGCTTTAGAAAAGCAGTACATGTATTGTAACAAAAAGATGCAAAAAAGGAAGATTCAAACTTTTTGATGACAATTAGTCCTGAGATTGTTATTATTATCTAATCACACATCATACAGCAAGTATACATGGAACATAATTTTATAAAGTTAATTTTCTTCCAAAAAAAAAAAAAAGTCATCATTTACAAATATCTGCAACCAAACTGCACCAAACAAAATTTTTAATCACATATTGACATTCTTTGAACCATATTAAATACACTTGTAACAATTTTTGATATGATTATTTACATCAACATTTAATTTATAATAGACAATAATGTCATCAATACAATGTTCCTTATCTCATTTCTATTAATGAGGAAAAGCAAACTTCTTCATTTAATTGCATTGATCTGTAAAGTTTATACATATATGTATGATTAACTTTTGCTGGTGATGGTCCTTGCAATGAGTTCCTTCATGATTTCATTGCTGCCGCCGTAGATAGGTTGTACTCGAGCATCAACAAAAGCCCTGGCGATCGGGTATTCCCACATAAATCCCCATCCGCCATGCATCTGGACACAACGTGTTGCAACAGAATTCTGAAGGTCTGAGCACCTACCGATCAAAGGAGAAATATTTTAGTCTTAACAATATTATTTCTCTGAATGTCAGTGTATATGATACACCAAGCCCCAATATTAAACATACAATGTACAAACAAATTGTATTACCTATACACTGTAATCTCTATAGCAAATATCATTCTTGCCACATGCATTTCACTTGATACAGATCTCATTTTGTTAACAATGTTTGTCAAACTTCTCAAAAAATCTTTTATCAACGACTCTTTCACCTGATAACTTATATACATTTATTCAATATGTTGGTCGTACATGGTGTTTCTCTGTACAGGTGTATATAAAACTGAACAAATTACCAGTATTTTGCCATGGATGCCATAGTGGAGTCCAGACCTCGCTGGCTGTGGATATCAAGACACTGATCAACAAAGGCACGTCCCACTGCTGTCTCCGTCTTGATCTCGGCAAGCTTGTGCTGAATAGTCTGGTGGAAAAAATAACACCAAATATTTCATTATGAATGTTAATGTGTGAACTATGAAAAATGTCTCCCTTATGGCCATCCTCAATATCCAGGGGTTACGCTCACTTTCGCTCTCTACACCCCTGGAATATGTCATAGCAAAAATGATACTTGTCATTTGAAGATTACAAAGGAGCGCAACCGACTTCAAAGCCTGTCATTTTTTACTGTTACGCAACTGCGAGATTCTTTAGATGTACATCAAAGGACCAAACTAGTCTTCTTGTCTCATCCGCAAGGTGTTGCAAACTGAACCTTCAATATTGCTATGACATATTCAAGGGTTGTAGAGAGTGAAAGTGAGCGTAACCCTTGGATATCGAGGATGCCTTATGGCATGGGAGCCATATGGAAGACCCACACTTGTGTTTTTTTCACAAATAAGAAAGCATGAGTTTATTGCGCGGACGAATATATTCCCAGAGTGTGCGGAGCTCATGAGTGAACATATACGTCCGCGCAATAAATGAGTGCTTTCTGATTCGTTAGAAAAACACAAGTGTGTGGTCTTGCTTTTATCACATACCTTCCATATTTGGTAGAGATTGATACAAATATTTTATAAACTTTGATATTTTTGCAAATACCGGGAACTTTTCAGTTCACAATGACAAGGGGATTCCCATAAAAAGTAGTTCCGGCTAGTAGTTAAATGCAACATTCGGTATTGCACATGTGTAATACAAAACGTTGTATTTCATGGTCTAAAAATTGCTTGTATTACTATTACAAGATTCAACAGGTATGTGATAAAAAGAAATATAAATTAAAATGAGCATTTACTTTAAAGCCACTAAACTTGATTGAAACCAAAGTACCCATGGCACTGGGGGATTGGTAGCATGAATTTAAGCGTATTTTGTTTTTACTATTAATCTTATCCTGAATGGGAGACAATGTTGACTGTATAGATTTATGTGGAATAAAAAAAAAAACTGGGCCCATCTCTTCCTGTTACAAAATCAACATTATATAACCAAAGAAATAGCATGCATAAACAATAGTACAGTGCAACTTCAATATCTCGTTTTACTACATGTGATATATTCTCTTTTGATTTTGGGAAGTTATGGTTTTATCTGGCATTGTTATAATATGGTAAACATCAAATTGATAATAGTGATTTTATTACGCTGTGAAATAACTATTTTTGAAATATGTATCATAAACATAGCCAAATATTTATTTTTTGTAAATGAAAATAAAGTTACAATTGCTCAAATTAAGGCAAATGATAATGTTTTATATGTATTCTTCTTTTGGTTTCATAATCAGCACTTGTCTCGTGCAGTAGGCATGCCAAATTATCTAGATATGAAGATAACATACACAAGATTTGATGTAGTGAACATGTACATTTTTTGGATGTAGTGGTTTGGACAAGGTGATCCCTTAGGTATGATATGGTTATCAGGATCTGTTTTCTCAATGTCTACCACACAGTCCACTAATTTAACACCAATTAAAACATCTACTGTCGTCTAAAGCTTGCTATAATTGACTTGACAACTTGAAGACAAAAGTAATGTCTTGCAGTTGTACTGTGCTGAAGTGTGTCAGCCCTGATCCCGTATACCCAATTGGTGTCAGCCACAATACACAAGTTAGTGGACAGACTGTTTTTCTGGGACTAAACTGCGGACTGTTTATTATTTTAAGCTAGTGACAAATCAAAATCTTAAATAGCCAATGGCTGCCGACAGCATGAGCACTGGTCCAAGAAATGTGAAGCTACGATCAGATGGTTCCCACAAAGACATTGTTTTCATCTGCAGCGAGCAGTCCATTTGAGCAATAGAGGTCTGTATAGAAATGAATGGCTCTTTTGATATTTGGAGGTTGTTATTGAGGTCAAAAAGCATCTTTTATTTTGGAATATACTTGGCAAACAGTTCTTCATGACGTAACAAAAAAATCCCTTTGAAGATTTTGTCAATTTTTTGGGAGGGATTGATAAGTCTACAGCAAGAATATAGTCGGTCGTTTGTCTTTCGCACAAGTTTGATGACTACAAATTAAATAAAAATTGGCAAAGGCCTGACAGGCCTGCCAATCCAAAAAATTGCAAATAATAAACAATTTTGCTTTTGTTTTGTATAAACAAAACTTACAAAATTGTGTATCAGGCAATTGGTTCAATGTCGTAAATAAAGTTGACACTGATCAACAAATACACAAAACTACTGGGTATAAACATAAAAGTAGCAAAACAGGGTTTAATCGGTTTCAACCATACATGTAAGTGAGTTGGGCACAGGCTTAAATCTGCTACAGCTTGCTCCACATTTTGAATAATAACCCGGGATACCCCTACGTACTCTGTGAGAGATTTGAAACTGCCTTTAGTTCTCAGGAGTTATCCCCCTTCACACTTTTTAGTTATAGCATAGATTATGGAGTTATTTCTGTTGCCAGTTGAATGTCAGGTCACATCTGAGGAGCTATGAGGAATGGGCTATATACAGTAAGGTTTCGTCAACATAAAAATGAAAACTACATGGGCCAATTTATACAAAATTGGAGAAAATGGATAATAGGATTAGGAATCGCCAAGGGCTCCTGTCTGGGACTTTCGCTATGAATACTATCCAAATTATTGTCCATTCTGCTAGACATATATTCAAAGTATACATGTTCTTAAACATTTCATTCTCTTTTACAAATATACTTTCAAACTTGTTTCAAGCACAAACTGTGCCTCTAAAAGACCCCCCCCCCCCCAACAAAAAAGGAGAGAATACTAAAGTGTGAACATGACTGTAACTTAAATTCAATATTGATACATCTGGGGCAAATATAACAAAAGAATTTTTTTCATAGAGATTACACACCCTTGAACAAGTTAACAAATAAGATCAGGTATTCTGGCAGGGTCAGACCTTCTGCTTTAATGACTTGCCATGGTAAATCTTGGTAAAATCCAATGAACTAATGTCACATCCTCAAAGCAATCAGCAGTCACCATCTATCACAGATGTCGTGATATTTGGAACATGCTTTTGAATACTGAATTAACTGCGACATTGTTTCACCAAAGAATCGGAAACAAGGGTGTTACTTTAAAGAAAGGGAAAGTTCATGAATGGAAAATCCAAATCAACATTCCATTATAACCAATTTATTATTATACTACTAATACCAATAGAGGAGAATTCTTCATTGAGTTTCCTAGATAAACAGAAAAAAAACCCAGAGAATAAGGAAATACCTGTAAATTTGAAATTGTCTTTCCAAAAGCCTTCCTTTCAAGGACATAGTTACGTGTCTCCTCAAACATCCATTCACAAGAGGCCATGGCCATGGCAGCAATGAGAAGGCGCTCCTGTGGTAGCTCATTCATCAGCAGGTAGAAACCTTTGTTTTCTCCCCCAAGCAAGGCAGATTTGGGCAGACGAACATCTTCAAAGAAAAGCTCAGCTGTGTCCTGTAAGAAAGTGATGTAGATTAATATAAATCTGTAACACATACAACTATGAAATATAATTTCCACAAAATAAACTTGTCACCCAGATTGTTGTTACAATAATATCATCTAGGTGTTTCAAATGCTTATCTCAAAGATTTAATTTTTATCTTCATCGTGCAGATGCTTTACTATCAAAACAAATGCAAAATGCGACAATAAAGTAGTGTCACTTTACACATAAGTTGAACAAATGATAACTGTTTTGACAGGTAATGCGCTTTTTCTACTTAGGGAGAGCCATACTCATTACCAAGCAAGTACATTCGAAAATGTTGGTGCTCCCTAAGATAAGACAGAAACAAGTAATTTTCTTGCTTTTTCACTAAATCCAGTTATGATTACTAAACAATTCAAAACCCACAAAATTGTTTCTGTGAACAAAACTGTGAAAGTTTGACTACAAAATCAGATTATATATATGGTACCTGTGCCTTCATGCCAATCTTGTGCAGTTTTTTTCCCTTTTTGAAACCTGGCATGCCTTCTTCTACAAGAAAGAGGCTGATGCCATGAGCTTTTGATTTCGCTTCTGTATTGGTAATGGCAACAACAATTACAAGGTCACTCATGTAACCGTTGGTGATGAATACTTTGCTGCCGTTGAGAATGTAATCGTCTCCATCTTTTTTGGCAACGGTCCGGATTCCTTGCAAGTCACTGTAAAAAAAAACAATGTATTATTCAGTTTATTGCAGTGGCATGAGGTTAATTAATATCTTGAAATTAGAAATTACTGTTAAGCCATTTGGCTAAAAAAGTCTCTAATTTTACTTTTCTGAACTGTTATATTTATGAATTAAATCAGACACAAAATTGGATGTTGTGGAGTTGCAGAAACAGTATTGGGTCACCTGTCCAACTACGTTTTTTTCTGGGTATGCCAGGTTCCTCTCAATCTAAGACCCATGTGCATTTTTATCCAACACCAGTGATTAATATAAGTTGATAAACGTGTTTCATAATTGTTGTAAAATAAATGCATTTAACATTTGTATATCAAAGGGACAATAATCCATCCAGCAATCCACACAAGTACAGTAATTATTGGCATGATAAATCAAACCATTAGGTAACATGTATGAGAGAATCGACTGACTTATTTAAAACACAGTTCCCCTTGATATTAATAATGGACACCTTTCTGTGTTAAGAATGGACTTTTGACAAACAATACACAGTTTTAAGGTTAACAGCGATGAGGCATCTGTGATTCTGCTATGGTCATTCATGCAGGACAACATGTTGTCAACTAATTAAAAAGGTACAGGTAGGGTCAATATTTTGAAATACACACACTTTTCACATCTACATATTAATATAGTGGAATCCCACTTTCCTAAAACTCACATAACTTGAGTATCCCCCATTTGCCGAACAGTTCACTTGTTCCTGATTGTTTCTTTTGGTCTTGGTAAAGTAATTGTCCAATAACTTGAATACCGTTTATCCCTTGAACTTTGGATTGTTCCCCGACAGTTCATCTACTAAGTATTAATCCAATCTATTTGTTGAACAGGTGTGACACCTGACAACTATAGCTCACTTGTGTATCACATCTTAAACTGGGAACCACAGAAAATGCCTTGAGGCAGACTACACTCTACCGACATCTATCGTGCTCTTTTGTGTTCACATAGGTGTCAGATCAGGATGTCATGTAGTTACAATATCACAAAAAAAAAAAATGACAATTCTTGACATAATTTGCTGTTTTAACAGAAATGCTTCCTTCTGAATGAGAAACCAAATCATGGGATGGAAATATTTTAGTGGTAAGCTTATCATGGTGTCTTGATTAATGCTTTACATTGAACAGAGAACAAACATGAAAAGTTTGCTAAAATGACATTAGATTGCATGCATTATGATAGACAAATTACTGACCAGAGGGTAAAGTAATCAACACCCCAACCAGTGCTGGTGGCAGTTAAGTTAGTGCTTTCATGGAAGAACCACTATACTAGTATGAGAAAAGCTCAGTCTGTCCATTCTGTGAGAAATGAATGTATCCAAGTGACAATTAAATTATCTGGATAATTACCTGCCAGCCCCTGGCTCTGTCATGGCAATGGCACCAATACATGTTCCAGCTGTCATTCTTGGGACGAACTTCTCTATCTGTTCTGGTGTACCATAGTGTGTGATGTAGGGCATTATGATGTCTGAATGTAAGGCAAAACCAGGCCCAGAGCAGTTAGCATAACTCCTGGAATCAGATTTAGCATACTTAAAGAAACAGGACAATGACAAAAAAACAGTAAACATTTGCCCAGTAGTTTTGGAAGAGATGTTTTTCAAAATGAATCTTCCAATTTAACTACATGTACTTTGACCCTACTTCTCAGCCCCAGAGGGTCTACTGGTTTAGTTTTAAAGGTTTATGGGCTATTGCATGCTTCCATTACACTTTGGTTGAAATTTACCCACAAGTTTGAAAGTAGATGTCTTTTAAAGCAACCAGCCAATTAGACACCTTTAACCCCATCCCTTAGTTTCAACGAGAGTCAGTACTTTTATTTGTATACATTTTGATCCCCATGAGTTTAGCATGCTACCACCACAATTTAGTTGAATATCAGCAATGCAAGTGAAAAATAAATATGTTAGGCTCAAACAAACTTTGGTATAAAAAAGAACACAGTGTAAACCTCTGTATTCAGAGGGGCACAGCTGAGACTCTATTTAAGAATGTTTCACTAATTCTTCCCAGGGTTATGAAGAAGATTTGGTAAATGTATACATGTAGGCAAAAGAAAATTATAATATGTCCCACGCCATTGTTGGTAATAAAGAATTAAAAATAATCTCCCATACTGTTCCTCCCATGTGATAGCTGCTGAGAGAACATCCCCACCCACACCACCAAACTTCTCAGGAGTGTTGACACCAAGGATCCCCATGGCTCCAGCCTTTTCCCATACCTACAACAATAATAAAAAAAAGACTTTCCTCTTGTAGTGCTGAACAAACACAAATGACCATTTTGAATTCTTATCAATATAAATATAATATTAGTCAATATTAACTCATGTGAATTGCATATGAATACTTATGTATAAACCAGGGTCACCGGATAATGCGGATATGTACCAAAAACATAGGCTAATCTAATGACTGAAGTCAGATGCTACTGTTGCTTGCTATTAAATAAGTCCCCTGTATGGTTACAATTTGTGACCATAAACCAACCCAACTTAATATAGTTAACTCCATCAAATGACTTTAACATACCTCTTTGCTAACATTGCCATCTTTTTCCCATCTGAAAAATAAAACCAGTTACTGATCAAACATTAAGACAATCATGGTTTCTAAACATCATTGTATAGTAGTTGAAATATATGTTTTTTTTGTTTTTTTTTGTTTTGAAGATTTTTTAACAGTACATAATACATTTACAATTCATTTTTCCATCCACATACAAACACTCATTCCATTTCTAGTCATAAGCAGAAATTCAACACTATATCAAAAATACATTTTTTATGTTCTATGTACCGTAGTTAATAGTGTAACTGTATATAATTGTGATATGTAACAAACAAAAGAATGAGAGATAGAAGAATTAAAGGAAGAATAGGATCAACATAGAGAAAGAGAACTTTAATAAGAGGGAGAAGATTTTTATTTAGTAAACTCCAGAAAGAAAATCTTTTCAATGTTTCTAACTCTATATTTTGCATTTGCTATTATATTTGAGCTTGTTTTTTGAATGCAATAACAACTGCAAGGAATGGTAAAAAAAAATATTTGATAAGATTTTCCTACTGAGCATGGTGGGGAATCACTTCTTCTTGGAAGAACCTCCTCACGCTCTGTCTGAACATGTCATGTTCCTCACTGAATATAGGTCTGGTGCCAATTTCCATCATGTTGTCCACCTGGGCAACACCTGGACGACTTGCCTCATCAGCATACCGACGTCTGATAAAGAAAAGATAATTTGAATGTATCATTACAGTATGTCGTCAAGTGGCACAGTGGATAGCACAACTGCCTTTTACTTGCAATTATGTAGGGCAAGTATTCTAGGTTATCCTATTTGCCCCATTTTTTATGTTGAAACCTAAATTACTAACATTCAATTGTATTTGAGCATTTTTTTTTTATACATAAGGAAGTTGTTCTAGGCTCAACAAATAATGAGCTTTAAGTTACAATTATAATGTAACACTGGAGTTCTTTAGTGATTCTTCATCTAGTATCAATGTCAGATAAAGGCATTGACTCTGGCTACACTTTTGAATAACTCATGAAGATTATGGACCTTATGACTCGCATGTCTGTGCATGTACCTCAATTATTATATGTTTGAGAAATATTGAAGGAGGATTATTTTCTGACAGGGATTGTTTAATGCTCAAGGAATGCATTATTGAATTTGATATACAGTTTGGTGTGGCGGCCATATTGGAATGTCCTTAAGGATCCCTGTCCCAGCCAGAGCAAAACACTTAAGAATTCCACTGTGGTTTTTCAGTGTTAGCGTCACCTGCCCCTGATTACTATTTCAACAATGTTGTTGTCTTCTCTTTAATAGATTTCGTTTGAATAACGTTTTGACTACAGAGTTGTGTCCCTTGCGTTGAAAATCTCCAATCGTGAAAGAGTGGGCAAAAAAAGCTGCCGTAACGATGTAAATAACATTGTGGCAGGGGTGGCCGACATGCAAGCCTGACGTAAAATCGGCCGTTTTAAATGTAAACTAAACGCATTAAATGACAATTATAACAACAACGATGTCCAATATCAACTGCTAGACCAAGACTATGCGACGAAAAAAAGTGACACTCGTTCATGCATTGAAGAGACGTTGGCTACTGAGGCCCCTACTAAGCTTACAGAAAATTTTACTGATGAGCTGACACCGACGTCCGATGAGGATCCCTCCAGTACTTGTGATCATGAATACCCCAATAACTTTTTTACCAGGCCGCAGGGTAGACGAGTGGTTGAACTCGCGATGTTATCTGAATATATGGATCAGAAAGGTTGTAAGGAATGCGGTACTAGGGTACAGTTGTGCAATCCCCAACAAGAAAGACATTTTGGCCTGGGAAGTATTTTATACATCACACTAGTCAGGATTATATTTTACATTTGTTAAAACATGTATATGCCCAATAGGCCTATATTTCAAGTTCATTTTTATATTGCATACAACAGTGTTATTTTTACAATGTGATATTTTTATACCACAATATCGTATGTTGTTATTTGTACACAATGTAAAAGTGTATTATTGCTATATAGTGTGATATTTTTTGATATCACAATATGGTATGTTGTTATCTGTACATAATTTGAAAGTTTACTATTGTTTTTATCCGAATGTAAAAGTTTATTATCGTTGTATATTGTGATTTTTTATATCACAACATAGTATGTTATTTGTACATAATGTAGAAAATCATTGTTGTGTAAAGTAAGTGAAACTTTGTTATTTTTGTTCATTGTGACATTTTTGCTATGACACAGTATACGTAAAGTACATTGTTTGTTATAATGTTATTCATAGTGACATAAACACAATGTGCAATTTTGTTTTATATTGGTTATTACATTTGAAGTAATTTTATTGGTTGGTTATGCCTACTGTATTATATTCGTATATAAAAAGTGCTATGTTGTATGTTGTAAATTGTATATATGACTTTTGGGGATTTAGAATTATTTTTGGTACAAATGTAAGAGTTGTCTATCTTTTTTGTTTAGTTTTTTTGTATCTTTATAATTTTTTGTATAATAAATAAGTCCGCAAGATATTTATTTGTTGTCACCGATATTTTCTTTTTGTTGTTCTAAAACGTGTTGCATTGGCACTCAGAATTTTATTGATTCATGTAACGGGCATTTTTTTAAAAAAATTACTCAGTTTTTTGTGTTTTGTTCATCAATATTGACATTATTATTTTTCCTTATAAACCATTGTTGCATCAAATAAAATGTATTTTGTTCATTTTGTTCCATTGGAAACTACCACAAGGTTTGGGTTATTGTTCAGAAATGATTTGGTTAATATGCAATAGCAATGCTGTAGAAAAAAACAACAATGCCTTATTACATTTTTAGACAGAGGGACGGGGATCCTTAACACTAATGATCTCAAGCACGGATAATTCGTGACACAGGTCGTATACTAAAACCATACTTGTGATGTTGTGTATTTACAGGACCGAAACATCTAGTGTCATGTCCCGAAACGACTTGTTACCGAAATGACCATCATTCGGTGATTTAAATTACTGCTTTGTCAAATATGTTTAAAGGGGCATCACGGTGAAATAACTTTATTTTTTGTCTTTTTAAAAAAATACTACATAAACATATCAAGTGAGACTCCTTATGGAAAATACCGATCGGATTTGGCTGAAATAGACTCATAAAAATGATTAAATCTAAGAAAATCATCGGTATTTCTACACGTCTGACCAACATTACAGATTTCCCTTTACTAGCGCATGTGCATAGCACACCATTTCTTTGTAAACAAAATGACTGGCCGTGTGAAGTAAGCGAAAGAAAAGTGTTGTACCATGTCAGCTACGAAACGAAAAGTTGCCAAATGGTCAAAAGATAGCGCAAGGAGTATGTTACGGAATCATTATTACAGGTGGGCAGTATTCAATGGAGAAAATAACTGCCGTAGCAGTTAGTACGGTGCATGTATTCTTCCGGATAGCCGGTTAAGCTGAAATGGAATCGACAGAAATGCTAGTGCTGTTTATGTTATGAACAAATATCTAAAACTATTAAGCTCGCTAGTATCTTTGTCTGAGTTTGAACACAGATGAACTTAGTTTAATATGTTAATGGGCATGTATTGGAGAGAGTTTACTTTGTGTTTCTATAATTATACAGTAGTTTATGCGAAAGGAAGGGATAAGTGACTGGTTAGTTTGATTTTTCCATGAGGCCCTCCAAGGGATAACTGTTGTGATGGCCCACAGCCTATTTTCTGGGTCACCGAGATAAGTGTTATCTAAGTCAGTGGATTTACATAATTTATAATATTACCGGGTTCAATAAAATGGTATGATTTAATTATATTGCTGAATTAAACGAATAATTTTGTTTTTACATGCAAGATTTAAATTAGTACTAATATGAATACCCGGCCTCCTCTGCCCCGGCAATATATAAAAAAAATCAGAAAGGTTTGTCCCTTGGTGTAGGGAAGTTTCCGGTGCCTCACAGCCCCTCTCTGGGGGCCCCTTTGGAAACCGTTTCATCTCTCTCGCACTACTTGTGTTTACTGCCTAGTCAGGTGACGTTATCGGCACTATTTTCAGCAGGGCTTTCCCGAACAATTCAAGTGGTCAAACTGGACATTTGGAACGGACTATGAATATGGGGATAGCGAGGTAACATAAGTGGAAGTGCATACAATACATACATTCATTAAAAAAAACGCCTTTTCACGTGATGTCCCTTTTAAGCACATTTAAAAATAAGTATTCAAATATTGCCAGAGTTTCTCCCCATGAAACATATTTAGGCTACAAGTATCGTCTAGTCACCAGTTTCCGCGCGTTATGTATTTCCGCGCAGCCATTTTATCAAGCTATATCTCATAACTACGTGACCTGCTGGACACAACACAAGGATATTTTAGACGTTTGGCAATCGTCTGTAAACTGACTTAAAAATTACCGGACGTTTGTCCGGAAAACATGAGAAATAATCACCGATTAAAAAAACATGCATAAATATGCAGTTTTGCTTAATGCACTTTTTATCTTGCTCAAAATAAACCCATACCTGAAAAAATGGTGATATATTTCATTCATGAACCTGTCTTTTTTTTAGTCTGACAAACGTACGAAAATGTCATATGCAAATGAGGCCACATCTCCTCGTCGATTTTTGTCCACTTCCGAAGAGCCAAGGAGACATTCTTATATTGATAAACAGTGTTTTCAATAAAACGTAAACCTTGTAATGCAATGAACTTCCAATTTTAACCAATTTTAAACAGAACAAAATGAAAAATAACTTACCATCAACCAAAACCAATATAAAACTGCAGAAAAAAATAATAACAGATTCTATATTATAACTAAATAAATATAATAAATAAATTTATAAAATTACATGAATTCGTTCAATTTGACATCTTGAAAAATCAATAAAAATTGTGAAATTTAAAAAAAAATTTTTGATAATTAATTTGACAATCAAAGATATTTTTTTATTCCAAACGAAGCTTTTGTTCTTGCAGGTCACTGTAGAGAATTTCTTTTTAGTGTAAATGAGTTATCTTTCTTTCTACACTAAATCAAAGTAGACACACGGAAACATATGACGGCTACTTCCGACGGGAGAAATTTGCTAAAAATTGTTTGTTCTGATTTTTTTAAAATACAGTTTTGTGATGCTATTTTTTTTGTTTCCTTTAGTAGATTGTATACATGTTTATGACAGTCTTCCGTAATTTCAACAGTTGTCTGCCGATATGAGTACGAAATCGCGGATGCTTCTTAAGTGCGCGGAAACCGGTAACCCGAGGATACTGCTTGTTTGGACTTTGAACCGGCTACACGAAGTTGCAACAGGAACCGAGATAAAGGCATTTCAGCAAAGAATATAACCCGAATAAAGCAAAAATCAAACAATATATGACTGTATTACCGAGATAACTGATAGGCTGCAGGGAGAGAATTCCTTATCAAGCAGCCTTTGCTCAAAACTGTATGCATCGTTTTCGCTGCTCCCATGGAGGCCATTTTGGATCGTCTGCTGACTGATCAACGTCACAGAAATGTTTGTTAATTTAAAACAGGTTATCTCCCTTATGCCATTACTGATTGAAAGCAACATAATATAGGATACCAACAACTCAGAAGTTAAGTTTAAGTTAAGTTTATATCCAGTACAGGACTAGACAAAGTTTATATCCAGCAGAGGACTAGACAATTCTCTTCATCGGCATCAAAAATCAGATAACACAAAAGAACAGCGTCTAATTTGCATATCGATTATCTAGGTCAAGTCGCCTTATAAGACAGCAAAACTTTACAATTAGTTACATTTTACATTTTAAGTCGAGTTCCGTAAATGTTGATAGTTCAGCTCTATAAACACGCACATGTATTTTAGATCTTAGTTCTCCCAATATTTTTCCAATCGATTTTAAAACCCTTTATTTTAGGTGCAGATATATATAAGCTTAGGTAGCGTATTCTACTATTCTACCATCTATATGGAGAAATGAGGGCCACTTTTCCTCATGAATATTAATGATGGGCGGAGAATGTTTGATCACGAGATCATCAGAGTTTTCCGCGCCACCATGGCAACCAACAGAAAAAAAAATGTTCCAAGGCTCATTTTAGTTACGATTTTGGCGTATTTTAAGACAACTCTGTAGAATAAAATTAACCAACTGGTCACATTGAACGAGATTTATCAAAGATAATGGGAACGGGAGTTAAATATAAAGGAACAATATAGAATATATAGCCAGACAGCTGTCATTCTCGCACGTTCTATACTACCGATGAAGGAGCATAAACAATGTGCATTTAGTACTTGTTACGTCTTCACTATATTCAAATCTCATTTTATTTATATGTAAGAAGACATTTTAGATGTTAGTTGTGAAACATTAACCTACAAAATCCTCGTGGTTAACGAGAAATTGGTGTTTTCAAATCAGAAATTTGCGAAAGTTCAAGGGCCCCCGAAGGGGTAATGTAATTCAACTGCACGATTGGTTTTAAACTAAAATTCCATCAAGTGAATCTATAGCCTATAAGTTGTGATCAAACTTGTGAACAAAATTCAAAGGTGTGGTATCTGAAAAAAGTTGCATACTTAGAATAAACAAGACCAAATATGACGATTGCAATCTCATATATATTGCAGTAGTACAGTTAGTATATACGTGATACAAAGATTCTAAAACAATATGGACAGAATAATCACGGGCTGACGGATGTTACTTAATATACTAAGGATTATGTATTATTATATGTAACAGATGAGGGGTGCAAGACGTGAACCAGACTATCCCGGAGAGAATGATTACATTTATATTGTCGGATGATTATTTCGGAGGCTAGGCTGGAATACCAGCTCTTTTTTAAATGTTAAATTTAAATATAGTTAGTTAGAACGAGTAATAAATTTACATATTTCATTCAACAATAAGGCAGACGGATTGACTTATCAATTAAAAAATATAACAACATCGATTAGCTTCCAGTACATGTATCATTATGCTTTAATTTTTCGTCCTGAAAATCCGTTTTTGCTCCTATTTTGACGTATACAAATTATGAGGTGATCGAGCACGTACGTTCATATGTGATACCATCTTAGAATAAAAGATTGTCTACACATTTATTAAACAACGTTGTCTGAAACAGGGACAAACTTTATGCCAAGGCATGTTCTGGAAAAAAATACCTAAAAAGAAATATTGAATAATTTACATATACATGTAACATGTAAGATCAGTGAGAAGTTGTGAGTTATGTTTTTCGAATCATGTGGCCATTCGTGTACAATAGCATTCTTGTAATTCTACCCACAGTAATATATATCAAATTCAGTTTATCTGAAAGGATTGAATAAGTAAATATTTTAAATGAATCCTTTTGGTGCCTCTTTCAAGTCGAGAGAGTGTCACAAAAACATGGAGACTCCTTTTACTTTCAGAAGAATACGATGTTTTTACATAATCCCATATGGTGCCCCTTTGATTTTATGTCAAATTTAAGAAAATCCACTTTTCAAATGCTCCAGGAACCTCGGATGTTGCAAATATTCTTAAAACACCTCTTAATCTCTGTTTTTCTAAACCGGAAGTTACCGAGCGAATCTCGGCAATTTATCTAGGTGACAGCATCGAAAAATTCGATCGAAAGTGCAGAAAATGGCTATTTGGTCGACTTCCAGTATTCGATTGCATAGAACATATGGGCGCCCTCGCTTCAAAAGTTCATCTACTCCAGGAACCTCGAGTTTTAATGGATCGCGCTAATTAAATTGTAACCCATATTTAGACGGTGTGTTGGGAAATTTCACTTAAGCCCAAAGTGTTATCCCAATGGGCTAAATGGCCGCCATTTTATCCAAGATGGCGGATTATGCAAATTAGCAAAGTAACTGTCATTTCTCCATATGATGAGTGATGATGATATATATGCAGCTCTCACAGAGAAAGAGTTTCTCCTAAACGTTTCTTTGAATCCCCTTTTACACGGTTTTTGGTGGTCACATCAGTACAGCATTCCCAATCATAACGCCATTGATGAATTTAAATTATTCTATCTTGTTATCGCGCGACTGAACTTTTAAGCCTATCTCCAATTAAGCCATTATAGTGTATAAGAAGACCATACTGTACGTTCATACTCACATTAGATCGAACAAGACATTTGTGTAAATGTATAATTAGTTTTACGTCCAAAAAATGAAAGGTTTTTCTTAGCATTGCACACGTTGAATTATCTTCTTCATTTTTTCAATGACGTGATTGTTAAAGTTTAAGCCTTGCCCTATGATTACTACAATATCTTTTTCGCTCGGTGTTGATACTTTAGTTCTTTATCGCTAATTTTGTATTCAACGCTATGATTTTTCGTGTATCCGTGGAATTTTCCAATTTTCATATGCTTGCATTTATCCAGGTGCATTTTCAGAAGCCAATCCCCACTCCACTAGCACATTTTATCCAAGGCCTATTTTCATGAAACCGGTCTCATGCTCAAGTATGGATTTTGTGCTCAAGCCTATTTTCTTGTTTTGGTTATTAAGTAATAAACAAATCTTATTTTGTCAATAATTTGGAAAACAATTTGAAGAGACTTAAAGCCCACTGAATACTGTTTTCAATGTTAACATTTGACTTTTTGATCGTTTGAGATGATTTAAGCGAGTTACAAAGAGTAGGTTTGAGCACAGAATCCATTGAATATTAGAACGGTTTCATGAATACGAGCCCTGAGGTCTTGTTAGAGAGTTTTCGAATCTTCTTCCTTTGAAATGACGTTGAAGATGTTTTTGTGTATCGCCTGCAGAGAGATCCCTTCCCAGATTCCTGCTGGACAGGGACTGAGTGAAGATTCGTGTTATTGGTCTGGAAATAGATGTGGATGTAATCTTCAGGTATGCTGGATGTAGGTCATCTAGTCATAGTAACTTATATGATTATTTTAAGAGAAATTTTTGTGCTTGTTCTTCATGTATTTTGAGGGGCACCATTTCCTCAGTGACCATTGTCTGCTAAATTCCTGGTATATCTTCACTTCCCTCGGTAACAAACACACTACGAAAAAATGCCTTATCTTTATCCCTTGTAACATTAGGAGTGTTCTTATTTTCCAGTTTACTGTACAGGTCGCCGGTACCAGTTCCAGTTTTGGATTTGTAATCGATGTGTCTCCATTAAATATTTGGGTTTTGTTTTGATTTATTGCTAGATTAAATTCAAACACTTTACGTAGGTAGCGTGTGAGCCTCCATACTTTGTTTCGTACCCTGTTATATTCTTTCCTTACTTCAGGATCTTTATTGTTGGACATATGAATACATCTCTGAGTCACAATATACATGCTGATATAATTACTTAAAAGGGACTAGTCATATGTTGGCGCAACATAATGATGCTGCATTTAAAATCTGTTACTCCGTTAAGCTATTAATTTCTTTTTTCTATTCTCGAAACATATGCACATTTGAGTCTTTATTAGTACAAATTTAGTAATATAAATACTATTAAGATATGAGAACGACTTAATGAATTTAGATGAGCTAAAAACTTTAAAGTTAAGGTGACATATGCTGCAATTTGATACCTGAATCACATTAATAGAGCCACTAGCAACAGAATCAGAAAACCTTCCTAGGTCAATGTTTGTGGAAGTAATACACGTAAAACTTCTGCATGTTTCATTTGAAATGAAAACGAAATGATCGACCGTTCCATTTTGTCGGGATAGTTCCTGGCGAATTCTGTAACAACGCCTGTAGTGGACATTTTCACTGTGCTATGAATGAATATTAGAACAAGTGAAGAGAGTCGCCGTTGTCCCATCCTTGTTGGACGTATATATCAGGTTATGAGTACTATCGATACATGGATGCTTCGTTCACTCTCACAACAAGTCACACATTTTCAATTTTCAAACAAATGTATCTCACTCGCTTTGGTGGCTGATGCCAGGTAAGTGGGGTTCTCTGTTGCTTCCAGGAAAAGTGCACAGCATGAGTTTTTCATCAAATGTTGATGGCGGTAATATGTTATTCTGTAAGAAAGCTTTCAGTTCGTCCACCTTCACACTGTTCTCATTTTGACAGCGTTTACGGTGATATGAATGCAGTTGCCAACGAACACTTTCTATGGAGCATGTTAGCCATAAATAATATGTTCGTTGTTAACGGCATTCATACTACATGTATATACTCCGTCAAAATGAAGGTCAATCCTTATATTTACATGTATCCATACTTTTTAAATTGCTTAAATTGATGCACGAATGGAAGAAAATGAGTTCAGGCCCCGGGATCATGAAACAGTGTTATAGTTAAGTTTTTGCTTAGCCAATCACGTATGACGTCACTTTTCATGACGTTATTTGTGATTGGCTAAGTCATAACTAAAGACAATTTCAAACTTAGAAATCGTTTCATGTTCCTGGGGCCAGGACAAATAAATCCACAGCGCACAAATTATAAACTTACTGTGACTAAGTGACAGTACATGTTATAACTGATTATATATTTAAATTGAATTTGCTAGTG